ATCAATAGACATCAGTGAATTGCAAATCAAAACAATAATGAGAAACTACTTCACTTACTAGTTTGGTTATAATAAAAAAGTTGGACAATAACAAGAGTTGGCAAGGATGTAAAAAAATTGGAACCCTCATACATGACCTGAGGAATGTAAAATGGTCAGCTGATATGCAAAACAGTTTAGTACTTTCTCACAAAATTAAACATAAAGTCACCATATAACCCCAAAATTGCCCTACTATGTAAAAATGCCCAAGAGAAATAGAAACATATGCCCACAAAAAAGTTGTTAATAGTGGTATTATTTTATCTTTTTTTCTTTTTCTTTTTTTTCAATAGTGGTATTATTATTCATAATAGCCAAAAAGTGAAAGCAGCCCAAATGCCCATCAACTCATGAACAGATAAACAAAATGTTATATATCCATACAGTGGAATATTATTTGGTCTAAAAATATAATGGAGTACTGATACCTGCTACAACATGGATGAACCTTGAAAATATTATGCTAAGTGAAAGAAGCCAGATACAAAGACCATACATATTTTATGATTTCACTTCTATGAAATATGCAGAATAGGCCAGGTGTGGTGGCTCATGCTTGTAACCCCAGCACTTTGGGAGGCCGAGGCAGTTGGATCACTTGAGGTCAGGAGTTTGAGACCAGCCTGGCAATGTGGTGAAACCCTGTCTCTAACAAAAATATAAAAAATTAGCTGGGTGTGGTGGTGCATGCCTGTAATACCAGTTACTGGGGAGTCTGAGGAAGGAGAATCGCTTGATTCTCCTTGGGAGAATCCTTGGGAGGTGGAGTTTGCAGTGAGCTGAGTCTGTGCTACTACACTCCACCTGGGTGTCAGAGCCAGACTCCATATCAAAAAAGAAAAAAGAAATATGCAGAATAGGCAAATCCATTGAGATAGCAATTAGATTAGTAGTTGTCAGCAGCTGAGGGGAGGGAGAAATTGTGAGCAACTGCTAATGTATATGAGGTTTCTTTTTTGGGATGGTGAAATGTTCTGGAATTAGATGGTGATGGTTACACCACTTTGTGCATATAATAACAACCACTGACTTGTATACTTTATAAGAGTGAATTTTATGATACGTCAATTATGTATCAATAAAGTTGTTATTAAAAAATGAAAATATATATGTCCAATGGGTCTTGTTGGAAGAATATGAATTTAAATAAATCAGTTTCTTTTCTCCCTAACATTAAAAGTGACTGTTGTCTATTTGAGATGACCAATAAAAAACTTACCTTTTAAAATTTAAATGTTGGCAGGCCGAGGTGGCTCATGCCTGTAGTGACAGCACTTTGGGAGGACAAGAAGGATAGCTTGAAGCCAGGAGTTCAAGATCAGCCTGGGTAGCAAAATGGCAAAACATTTTTTTAAAAATTAGCTACCTATGGTGGCATGCATCTGTAGTCCTAATCACTCAGGAGGTTGAGGTGGGAGGATCACTTGAGTCCAGGAGTGCCAAGCTGCTGTGAGCTGTGATTGCCCCACTGCACTCCAGCCTGGGCAACAGAGAGACCCTCTCTTTAAAAAGTTAAAAATAAATGTTACAGTTA